GAGCATTTGATCTTATTGAGCACAGGATCAAATTGGAATCTTATAAAACATTGGATTAACTGACCATAACAGTATTGCTGTTATCACCCTAAATGTTACGTGATTACATGATCTAGACCTTAGACTAACAATCACAACATTCACACCAGTTCCATGATAGCATGAGGTTGACATAAACACTACACTTTCCCAGCCAGCAGCTTCCAAATACCCATACCTTTGTTGAATCTGAGTTTTGAGCTGAATACTTTATCGTATCCATCTTTTATAGTTAAAAGTAGTTTAGTAAAACCTTTCAAGATCTTCCCAAACCCATCTTCCTGCACACAGAAACTCCCACACCGTTTCCATCTCAGGAATACTGCTATACTAACACTTGCCCCACTGCACCTTAATTGTATGCACTGTATCGCCATGCCAGTGTGTAAAGGACCATGTTCACTGCATCTCTCTCTAGGGCTTAACATGTTCTGTTTTGACAAATGCTGGGGAGGAGAGACATATAAGTGAAAAATTTTGAGTGGAAAGATGAAATGTAAGGCAAAAGGTCGATTCCTGCCTTGGTAGATTATGAGCTGTGAGGCCACCGACCATCTATAAGCCTTTCTAAACTTTTTTATCAAAAGAACCAATGGCATTTTTCTAATTGAAAAAAAACAATGCCCTGTCATCCTCCTGGAGGCTGCCTCTGTGCCAGCTATGTACTGGTCATTCACAGGTGAACAAGGTGTTAGTTTTCTCATGGAACTTAAATAAAACTGCTACCTGTGAGGAATCAACAGCCTGACTAAGCAGAGAACAGGTAAGACAAAGTCCCCTCCCTCCTCCACGTCTTTAGATGGGTGCCTGTGAAGGGACACCGCAAGCAGTCCAGATGACAGAAGGCCACATGAGAAAGATGAGCATGCTGCATGGGAAGCAAGAAGGCAGCCACACAAAGACCTGTCCCCAGGACCCAAAGCTGCCAGGGCATGCTGAGGGGCAATGTAAGTTCACTTCTCCCTAGTTCTTGTCCCCATCACCAAATTACTTTAAAGCTGTTTATGGCTGGTATTTTATTCAGTTATTGAATATTATATGCTAATTAACTTGCCCTAGTGTGGCAGCTGTATGGACTTAGAAGCAGAAGATCTGAGTTGAAATGTCAACTGTCACAATTGCTAGCTTTCTGGTAAGTAACTTCATATTCTTGCAGCTCACGTTCTCATTTATGAAAAAGGATCTTAATACAGGTTTCACTTGGGTTTTGTAAGTTGCATAATAGGCACTGAGGACATTTTTTTTTCTTTCTTTTCATTTTTATAGTTTCTGTTGCTTTCTGCAGACCCAGTGATTGACACACTGATGATACAGTATGGTGTCATTACTTGGCTGGATTAAGGTTGCTTTTTTACCTTCACAGTATAAAGACTCTTAACTCCAAGTAACAGTCACTGAGTACTATTAAGAAAAAAAAAAAAGACCAACCTAGCAGAGACAGAAGAGACAGGGTCCAGGTATGGAAACAATGACCATAAGTATTCAATGTTCCTTTTTCCATTCCTGGACTTGGCTTCATTTCAGATGCATTCTATTTTTATAGAGGCAAGAGGCTATTTAGCATAACAGGCTTATACCTTATTCGCTTAGAAATCCTGGGGGAAACTAAGAAAATGTTAGGTTCTCAACAGGTTCAAGAGAAGGCCCAGGTCTGGACTGGCTCTGGCTGAGCTGCATGCCATTCCTATGCTGGTCATCATGAATGGGGATGTGAGCTCTGCGAGACCCAGTCTGCATCAGACCCTCCCTGGGAACTGGCAGTCAGTCACACCAAAGCTATGTGACAACTGGTTGAAGGCTTTCCCAAGAGAATAAAAGGACTTTATGAGATTGAGGATGGCAGTAGACACTGAATACACAAAGCAGATGTCCATTTCAACTTAAGCCCAGCAAGCCACTGACACTGCCATGTATTAGAGTTAGGAAATAATTCATCACTATTAGATGGACTCAAGGCCCTTTAACACTGCCTCCCGTCTTGCTAGGCCTTTCCTTAAATTGCCTCTTTAATCTTTGCTTTAGTCTGTCATGTGCCTAAGTGCCCCTATAATTGTGGTGAGATCTCTTTCTCTAGAATACCTACCCCCATTCTCTACCTATTGCTATCCATTTCATCCTTCCAACATCTGTTCATAAGTCACTATTTCAGATATTGTCCCTCTCTCAGTTTCTCCTTTTCCAGAATCTCCAGAGATCGTAATTCTGCCTTTGTCTTTGTTACCATAACAGTTAAAAAGCAACCAAATCATCGTGTATCCATATTATGCTTTAGTCAAACATTTCTGGGACCTAGGAGCAGTATATACTTACCTTGTAACCTTCAAAAAATTACTTACTTTCACACTCAAATGCAGATACTATTACTTAATTCCCAGAGCTGTATAACGTGTCTGGTTCATGTGCTGACTGTTCTAAGTTTTCTTGCCTAATCAGTTGTCTGTGACTACACAGGTATCTGTTTTCTCCTTTTCCTAATAAACCTGCCCTTCTAAAAAGTAAAAAAACAAAAACAAAAACAAAAAAGCTTATCAAGGTCACAAGGAGCATCCACATATCTTTAGTTACCAAGAACCATGGAAAGGTAGTCAGTACCAAAGTGACCTTTACCCTGAGGGATTAAAAGGTTTACACACAAGAACATAATAAAAAATGATCAGTCCTGGCTATTGACTTGGAAGAAGAATGTAGAAGGATCACATCTCTTAGATGTCTATTCCAATAATTTTAAGTATAGGGTACTGGTAGCTTGAAGGAGAATATCAAGGTACAGTTAAGATGTCTGGGTTCAGGATATAATCTGAAAGGAGAGCTGACAGGTTGCTGTGCATTAGAGATGGGATGTGAGATAGAAAGGAGTCAATGATATCTTCAATTTTTTGGACTTAAGCAAATGAAAGGATGGGACTGCCACTTTTATTGAGAGGAGATAGGCTTCAGGAAGAGAAAATATGCAGGGAGAAATTGAGTATGGTGTGGAATGCAAAATATTTAGACAACCCAATGGAAATGTGTGAACTCTGAGAATCTAAAACTTGAGAGGATGTCCACTTAGAAGTATTCTGTGCAGCCAGAGAGGTGAGCCACATGGTGTGACAGACCTCTCCTGACTCTCCCACTGCTCCCCTCAGCAGTGTATCTCAGTCGATCTACCTGTTCTGCTTCCCACTCTGTCTCTGGTGAATCCTCTCACCCCCACACCTCTGGCTTGTACCCCAGTTCTTATATGCATAAATAAATAAAGCTTTAAAAATTATGTAAGTATTCTGAGCTTTTAAAATGAAGTTTTAAACTACTTTTATCTCAGCCAAAAGGAAAGATTCAGAAAGACAAAAACAAAAAACTGAAGTAAGAATTAAGCAACTTTGTGTTCAGCATCTTAATTTTGTGTTGGAAACTTATGCTTCTGACATACATTGGGAAATCTAAAGCCTATATGCTAATAAACCCTGCTGCTTTGTTCATTTATTAGGCACAACTCAATTTGTTCATTGTTTATTTCTCAGATGTATTACTGCTTACTTCTGATTAATAGTTCGTGTCTGAAAATGGTTCTGAATCATCTATGATAAAAGAAAAAAGATGGCAAAGAGAAGAGTATAGCTCTAGAAGAAACCAGTCTTTACCTATCTGCTTCAAACAGGCTAGCTACTTGTATGAACAAGCCCTATGCATTTCAAATACAACATGCTATCTATACTGGCTAATTCTAATAGTAATGACTCATAAGTGCTGACATGCACTCAGTTAACTTGTCTAAGAAATTTTACTTTAAGGGAAAAAAATACACAGAAGTTGGTAAGGTGATCTAGCTGTTGAGAGGAGGGTGGACTGGACAAGCTCCCACTGCATGTAGAGAAGGTGATCTAGTTGTATATTGGAGGACTTCACCATCTGGGGCCAGAGATTAGAGGTAGAACCAGAAAAGGAGTTGTTACTGGTTTACTAGTAACCAGAACCCTTCACAGAAATGTAAAGCTATATTATTATCCCAACCTCAGGCATCATAACTGTGGCTCTGCAATATGAATTGGTTTGCCAAAGGATCATACTCACCAAGAGGAGAATACAGCTTTAGCATATTTAATATAATTTCTCCTGGTTTTGCCACCATTACCAGTGTTGTTTCAATGCGTTTACGACAGCAGTTGATGAGACTTTGTCTGAGGTGTACTCCCTTTCCCCTATAGGTGGCTACGTGGAGGCCTTAGAAGTGACCAGTGAAACCTTGGACCAAGGGGTCTTTAAGTGCAGTTCCATCTCCGAGGAGATGTATGATGACGTGGAGTACCCTGGGAGAGAAGGGTATGTACACTACAGCCTTAAGTGGTGCGGTGAGATTTTAAGCACATATGACATGACTTTCAAGTTATGACAAGTTAATGGTCTTTGTGTCTTTTCTCCCCAGAACAAAGTCAGACTTACCTAATTCATTTGCCTCAGATAATGGTACGTATGGTTGGCAATTTCTGAAACTGCCAGGAACTACTGAGTGCTTCTATGACTGATTAGCTATAGAGTAACTCTATGTTATAATGTTTAGTATTAAAAATGTACACGTTTAAGAATGTTAATTGTGTGGGTTGATGGTAAGGTAAGAAAAGTGCGCCAAGTATGTGCTAATAAATGCATTTAATATCATGAAGAGTAAAGATGTTGATAATGGCCTTCTTGTGGCACAAAAGCAACTTTACTACAAAACTGCTTCTTTCCAGTTCAAACAGTGGAGGTTTGATTATAGGAATGCTTTTACTTCTTCTTACACTATGTTCAACCTTCCCCATTGACATCCATCGTACCAACCTCCTTTTCTCTTCCCTGACTGGTCAACCTCCCCCTGCATGTACAAAGAACATTCTTCTTCCTGGAATGTTCTGCCTTTGTTGTGCCCCTTTGCCTAGTGACTCTTAATCTTTCTTATGATCTCAGCCAATCATTGTTCTCCCAAGGAATAGTCTCCTTGGGGTACAATCCATACTGCAATGGCCCCCTTTTTATTGGACTTGTCACAATTTTAATTTTATATTTAATTGATAATTAGTAACTATCTTTCCTCCTAACCCAAATGGGGAAAATAAGTAAAACTACCATTATTTGCAGATGATAATATTTAGAGAGAACACTAAAAAATCCACAGAAAAACTAGTTTAAAAAATAACTATTTAGTAGGCTACAAAAGCAATACCCAATTATCAATAGCCTTACGTTATGCAAACAGTCTGAAGGGGAAGAAATTAAGAAAAACATCCCATTTACAATAATACCCCCAAAATTAAATACCGTGGAATAAGCCTAACAAAGGCAGTGAAAGACCTATACAAGGAAAATTGCAAAACACATTAATAAAAATGGCATTCTTCAAAGAAATGAAACAAATATTGTTAAAGGTCATATGGGATTACAAGAAACCCCTAATAGCCAAAAATCTCTGGACTAAAAGGGGAAAGAACAGAGGTGTTATACTCCCAAACATCAGACGTACCAAAAAGTGATAACAGAAACAGCCTGGGGTCCTCCCTGGTGGTGCAAGGGGTTAGGACGCAGCACTGCAAGTGAGCCGCAGCCGCTTCAGTAAGAGTTCGAACCCCGCCCCGGAGATGACCACCTGGTGCTGCAGACCCTTCCGGACCCGCCTGCTACTGCCCTCAGCAGTGTACTTTATCGATCTGCCTGTTCTGCTCCCCACTCTGTTGCTGGTGAATTCTCTCACTGCCCTTGTGCCTCTGGTCTGTATTCCAGTTCTGTACAAATAAATAAATCAAGAGGAAAAAAACATCCTGGAACAAAACACACACATACCAACAGGATCAAATTGAAAGCCCATAAGTAAAACCACACATATGGTCAACTAATGTAGGACAAAAGAGCAAAGAATGTACACTGGAGCAAGTTAATCCTCTTCAGTAAATGGTGCTGGGAAAAATGGACTGTCGCATGCAGAAGAATAAAGCTATTCTAGTATCTCACACCATACACAAATTAAACTCAAAATGAATGAAGATTTGAATGTAAAACCTGAAACCATAAAATATATAGGGAAAAACATAGACAAACACTTCATGACATAAACCTCAGAAATGTCTGAGGACTCGTCCCCAGAAATAAGGTAAATAAAGGAAAAGCAACAGCTGGGACTGCATCAAACTACATCAAACTAAACAGCTTCTGTACAGCAAAAGAGGTAATAACCAAATGACCAGACACTGGGTGAAGAAAGTATCCACACACCATACAACTAATAAGGGGCTGATAAGATCCTACAAAGAGTTTACACAACTCAACAAACAGCCCAATCCAAAAAAAAGGACAAATGGGCATAAGAGCTAAAAAGACTTTCCAAAGAAGAAATGAACCACCACAATTAATTACTACCTCACACCTGTGAGAATGGCCCATATTTAAAAATAAATAAATGCAGGTAAGGATGTGTAAAAAAGGGACCCTCTTAAATTGCTGGTAGGAATGTAAACTAATCCAGTCACTATGGAAAGATGTCTGGAGATTCCTCAAAACACTAAAAATGCTTCTACCATGTGATCCAGTGATTCCACTCCTAGAAATTCACCCACAGGACATAAAACACTAACTCAAGGGAAACCTGCACTCCTATGTTTGTTGTAGCACTATTTACAATAGTCAAACTATGGAAACAACTTAAGTGCCCCAAAAGAGATGAACAGATCAAGAAGATGTGGCATATATACACAATGGAATACTACTCTGTGATGAAAAATGATAAACCCATGCCATTTGCAGCAATCAGGGTGGAACTAGAAGGTATTATGCTAAGTAAAATAAATCAGAAGGAAAATAAATATATAGTTTCACTTACATGGGGAATACAGAGAAACCAGACTCAGGAAAAAGACAAAACTGCATACAGCAGGGGAAAGGGAGGGGAAAAAAAGGAGGCAAGAGCACAAGAAACTGTGGTAGTGGATCACAAGTGCTATATAGCACTAGGGTAACTATGGGTACTACACTTGAAAGAAATCAAATACTGTACAAAAATTAACAATAATGTAGGAAATAACTCAGTAAGAAGAAACTATCTTCCCTCCTAGATGTTCACCTTCTATAACCTTAACATTTTCACTAGTCCCTAGGATAACGTCAGGAATATACTAAGATATGACAAAATGTTGAACAAATGGATGAAAAAATAATGAAGAATGGCTGTATGCTATTCTAGTTGGAGATATGACCTTAAGGATCATAAAACTGTAGTTTCATTTTAAAGAGGAAATTAAGGACAGAGAAATGACTCTCCTAAGACTAGTGTGAGTCAAGTCTTAAACTTGAAAATCATCCATTGTGAGGGGAGACTCTAAAGTATGTCTGTATATATTAAGCTCATATATTGGGCTAAGCGAGTCATGCTATGAAAGCAAAGATTATTTAAACATAGTCTGTTCTGTCATTTCCCCAGCATCCCACACTATGATTGTTATGTAATAGGTTCTAAAAGTTATGTATTAAATATGCAAAGGGGGTGAGTAGAAGGAAGGAATTTGTTGATTAAACAACTTTGACTAAATCAGATCAAACTTGGAATTAGAATCAAAGCAAGTATTTAATTTATAAGTATATTTATAGGCATTTACACTTTATCATGCTTGTAAAAATGTGCACATGCATCAATAAAATCTACTTAGTAAACAAATGAAAGCTGAAGTACCTAGTACTGAGTAGGGAACAAATCATTTCTGTAATGAAAGAAACTGAAATACTATCACTATAATGAATGAAAAGATTTTTTTTTTAATTTCAGAGGAAAATAGTGGAGAAATGTATGAAGATGTGTACAAAACAAAGAGCAACTACCCAAAGTGAGTTTTTGGCTTCTTAGATTATGGTGTTTCTAGGAAAACCTTAGTTTAAGAAACAACCCCTTTCCACAGGCACCAACACCCACCACCATCTTCAGGGAAGATTTGCAGAGCAGAGATAAACAATTGTAATATACATTGTAATCAACAGTTGTAAGTGTGTACAATCATACTAATTTTAAATCACACTGCTTTCTCTCTAAAAAAAAAAAAAGTGTCTACCTCCAAGAATAGAGGGTGTGGATTTTAGGAATAAGTGAGGAAGCAAAAGTAAATTATCAATTACCAATACAACTTGTTTTAATTCTGTAACTGTTTTTCAGGAAGAAATTAATGATTGTGACTTAACTATGTCTTTGAAAGTACTAAGACCAACTCTGAGATTTAGGTTTATTAGCATTATCAAGAATATTTATTGTGCTCACCTCACAATATATACAAATATTTAATCATTATGTTGTGTACCTGAAATAAAAATGTAACATGTCAGCTATATCTAAAAAAAAAAAAAAAAAACAGTAAGAGATAAACCCTCATTTCTATGCTTTCAGAAGCATAGTTGGCTTCAGGTAAACATGGGTGAAAAATTGCAGTTTCCAATGGAGCTAGAAATCATTACAAAGAAGGAATAATGTTTCTGCCAAACACATTTGTTAGCTGTAAGATTTCCAACACTTTTTGGCAATTTTCCCTAAAAGAATAAGCTTGAAATAAAGTATTAGGGTCTAGCCTTACCAGATCATCTATTGTGTATGTCATATATCGGGTACTACATGTATGCTTACAGTAAAGTTTCTTGAGAGTGTATGAGTTTCCATTCTATGCAAACACTTAAACCGTGTCCTTCTGTGGACACTGTTGTTAATTCTAGGACATTATGAGTTGGAGCTTTCAGAATGAAGCCATCATTTTAACTACAAATCAAAAAGGACTTTGGCTTGGAGCTCTTTTCATTGTTTTGCCTTTCACAGGCTGCTATCATGGGTCTTTTTCCTAACACTGCCTATCTGACATTCACTTTATGTCTTTAAGATATTCAAAGAAAATGTAATTATGAAATGAATTTTAAAAAAAGAATTTGATCAGATGGACATTATCTAAGTTTACTTACTGTGGAAAGGAAAGTGGTAATGGCCAAGGGCAGTTTTGTCACACGAGGCCTGACAACTGGAGGGAAAGGGCAGCTCTGTCATGTGTGATGATGGGTGTATCACTGCCCACTCCAGCAATCCCCTCAAAGTTGTCTGATGTGTGCTACTTCCCCTTAAGGACAGCTTAGAAGGCCGAAAAGGCATTTTCTTGTTCTTCCTGGAGTGTATTTGGGAATGAAATGGAAAACTCCTTTTTCCTACAAAAACCTTCCATTTCAAATTTCCTCTCTAATTTACTTTTCCCCCTACTTCCTCTTAGTTTAGATGGAAAAGAAGCACTTAAAAGACTGCAGAGATTCTTCAAAAAAGAAAAGGATAGACTTAAAATGAAGAAAACCAAGTCAAAAGAAAATGTAAGGTAAAACGTCCCTTTTTAATTTCTCTTCCCAGGAGAGAATTAACAGGGAAGACCTGGTAGTTCACAGCTTGCTTTCTCCGTCCTGTTCTCAGAAACTGAAGCCAAAGGCCCTGGCTATCACTTGTCTCCCTCCTGCCAATGTTTTGAGTGAGCCACACCTACAGATACTAATGAAAAAGTACTGATGCCCACTTTGCAGAAGCATGTCTCAAAAACCGACTCAACAATGTTACCTGAGATATAGCAGCTAATCTTTCTGAACATGACTTTTTTCCTTAACCCATTTGTGCCTTTTGTCTTTCAGGAGTGCATTTTCCATTTCACTGCCTGATTTACGTAAGTGACATTTGCTTATTGCTGGTACAGAACCATTCAGCATTGATATATTCAGAGCAGGAAAAGAGTAGTAGCAATCTCTTTTCTGCATTTCACATTTAATAAAAATTGATACATCAAAATCAAATAGGATATTTTATGGAAAAGTATGTGCCTACTTAAAGATAACAGGTCTCTTTAACATCCCAGAGAAATAGCTGGTATTCTTTTTTAGGGAGGCACTACAACTCACATCACATCTCTAGCAAGCTGGGATTTGTACAATTTCAATTCTCTGAGGTTATGAAGTATGTGCATTTTACATATTTTACATTTTACTGCACAGTCACTTGAAGGATTTGATGTCAGAACACCCTAATTAAAACATAAGAAGCTGAACATGACCACACCACCGTACCTATGCTAACTGAATCAAGGATGGGCCATGGAACTACTGTTTGCCCTACTATAAAAACAACACTGCACACAGCAGCATAGAGCCCAGCACACAGAATGTTCTTAGTACCTATGTGCTCAGTAGGTTGAATCTGATCAAAGTTTTGCTGTTTGTTGGGGCTTATTTATGGGTGCAAGCCATGATGGCTTTCATTCTTATTTGGCTTTCATTCTTATTTGGCAATTCAATTGTATACTATATCCCATGTGTGAGCTTGAATTTAGTAACATGGATATTATACAAAATCTGGTAAAAGCATAGGTGTCCCCAAATTTGGAGAGACAACTAGTAGGAAGATGTGAACCAAATCTAAAAACGTTCCAACAACTCAAGTTTTCTAGAAAATTGCATGAAATCAATTATAATGTATATGTATGTGTTTGAAATGTTGTATCATGTGTTCTTTGATCCTTCCAGCATCAGTATACTATAATCAGATTCTGGTAAAACAGGTGTGGGGATACACCTGGATAATTAGGTTAACTGTCTATAATTTGAAAAGTCGTGGATTATGCAAACTTTACCTAATACTGATCTATTTTGATTTTAATCCTAGAACTTGGGTCTCAGGAAGTTATTATCTACGATGATGTGGGCATACATGAAAAAGTATCAAGGTAAGTCAATTTACTTCCTTTATCATCCCTATTAATATTTAATGTATTTCCTGATGCTTGTTAAATGTGGTCAGAGGACCATCTCTTCAGATCCTAGGAGACTGGATGAAAAAGTTAACCTATGATATACCCCCCACTTAGAAGGGAAAACATAGATGCTCTAAGAGTGAATGCATAGATGCTCTAAGAGTGGTAGGTGAATTAGTAGTTACTGAAGCTTTGAAATCAGTTTATCTTTCAGTACGACACTTGAAATTCCTTTCAGTATAGCAAAGTCTTATTTAAAAACCTCCTGTTTGTATGAGACATTATGAAAGGTAGCATCAACTGACAGAACCTCTGTTTGCAAAGGCTAAATAATTATACACTATCAAAAGAGACACCATAGTTAAACTTGATATGTCTACCTCTCTCCAGCTATCTGTTATCAGTCTTTTCCTTCTCAACTAAATGGATGAAAAGAGAGATTTCCTCCACTTATCTTCAATTCATATTTGCAAGCTCACTGCAGTTGGTCTAGTCATACCAGTGAATTTATTTTCAGTAAGGTCACTAACATCTTCGTTAAATATATAAGATAACTTTAAGTCATTATCTTATGTATAAGTTTGTATCTTTAAGCAGCTTTGTCATCCTTCAAAGAAAAATATATGTGAACTTTCCCTATATCTCCATATAGGGAGTAGTTCTTATTACTCACCTTTTACTGTTGCTCCTAAGTGTGTGTGTGTGTGTGTGTGTGTGTGTGTGTGTGTCTGCACACACACTCAGGTTTTCTAATTCTACCTTCATCTCTTTTAAAAGTGTGTATTTCCACATGGAAAAATGTCCTAAGTGATAGTTCCTGTTTTCCCCCATTGTTCTGCAATGCCATCTGTCGTATTTCAGGTCAAGAACGTGTTAAAATATAGTTGCAGTCACAAAGGCGAGGGATGATTAGAATGTGTTCTAGGGTAGTGAAAAAGGGAGAAGATAGGTAGATTTCTTAATTTGTGAAATATTCTGGTAAAAAATATATTCTCTATTATTCTAGTGTCTACTATAGGCACTGAAGACATACTAGATACACAATAGTTTATGAATAAATAATACCAAATCATTAGCCCTATTAAAGCCTGACCCATTTCTTTTTCTTGTAATAGTATAAATCTTTGGTAATTTGGCCTCAGAGGAGCCGACTACTAAAGGCATTTGTAGCAGATGGGACACTGATGGAAATCTTAGTCCAGTAGAATCTGGACTAAGAGAGAGGAGACAATATTAGAGCTTTTCTAAGTTTGGCTAGCTTTCATGCCAGGTTTGGGTAGTTATTAGATTGGACTAAACAGCACTGAATTAAACTGCTGCTACAAAGAGAAAATCAAGACTACTGCTTTTCTTTTCATTTCCTTTTGTTCATTAGACTAGAGAGTCAGCAAGGGAAGGGAGAGAGGGCAATCCTGAAAACCTCTCTGAACAGTTTCTACACCAAAGCAACCTGTAGCACATACCAACATCCACCTGTGGACCTTAGCTTCCTGACCTGTGAGATGGTATCCACACATCAACATGCCAAATTCATAAAGCTTTCTAACCAGATCTTTAAAAAAGTTAAAATAGATTTTGATCATAATGTTCATATGAATGGTATGGGTACAAAATGGCTTACCTTTTCTGAAAGAATAATTAGGCAATGTACACCCAAAATGCCCATACTACTTACTTAACCCAGTAAATCCACTTCAAGCAATTAGCATTAATGAAAGAAAATTAAGGAAAAAGAAATAAACCTCATACAGTTATGTCTTTAAGGTTATGATTAAAGTTGTTTAAAACAACCCAAATTAGTTATTTTCTCATATACTATCTCTTTTTTCCTTTGCAAAGCTTTATGAACTACTTTAAAGGACTTAGTGAATTCTTAGTGAAAACCAAATTAGGTAACATATGCAAAATATCTAAGATCTGATATGTAGGTACTCAAAAAGTACTAGCTCCTCTCCTCTCCTCTCCTCCCCCATCACTGCCTTCTTTTCTTATTTACTTTTACTTGAGGTAATGTTGGGGTACTCCAATAATACCATCATGGTGCACCCACCCACCACCAACTCAACCATATTTTCCCATCATAAACCATTGTGTTTCCTTCCCTCTTTGTTCTCACTACTCCCCTGCCCCTTCCCTCTGGAGCTTCAGTTTTGTAGTCAGCTATCAATGGTTAGTTTTTTTAGTTTCTTTTTGTCTGACAATTTAGTTACTTTATATTCCACATATTAGTTATAGAAGTATGCATGTCTGCATCCTTTTCTACCTAGACCCACTACTGCTGAATACTAACTGATTTTCTTTCATGGTGAATATTAATATTATTCATGTTTTAGAGGCAAAACCCAAAAGTTGGACAGGAGAGAAGTGTGATCTGAAGCAGGTTCATCTTTTGCTTCTGGTTTCAAACTTGGATGGTTACAGGTTAAGGCCTGAGGACCAAGTACAACCTTGCTATTTGTTTTTGCTGAAAAAAACAGATTTGAGTAGCTGCCACAGAAATGATACGCCACTCAAAATCTGCACTATCTGGCTCTACAAACACCCTCAAAAAATACAATTTTTTAATTCTTTTGTGAAACATAATTGCCTCAAAAGTATTGACGGTCTCACAATTTCAGATCAATCTTAAATCTTTCTCAAAACATTTTTCTCTTTCAGAGATGAAGATAAATTGAGAACATGGAAACCCAAATTTCTGACACCAAAGGAAAAAAAGGAGAGAAAAAGGGCTGTAGAATCAGAAAGGTAGATCCATAGGTGCACTTACATTTCACTTTATTGGCCTTAATTTATACCTTTTACTAGCTGTGTGACTGCAGGCAAATCATTAAATTTGATTTCCAGGTTTCTTATCTACAAAAGGAGAATAACACCTACATCATAGCAGTTGAGTGGATTAAAACAGACAAAGAATATGAAAATGTCAAGTGCTATATAATTTACCTTCATCATCATCATCTCCATGTTTTTGGTAGATAGGGAGCAAGGAAATATTTTAACTCAGTCCTTACCAAATGATGAATACCTTAGTCTTCCTTTAGTCTGTGAAAACTTTAAGATAGAACTTAAATAAAATCCGAACCAGAGCTATCTGCCTTCATTCATGTAAGTCAGCTGCTGGAGGAGTAATAGATTTCGCTATCTCAGATACCTAGTGCTCTGCGCGCTAGCTTTCCCCTCAATCACCAGGACATAGGGCAGAATCTGAGTTACCTTAATAAATGTCTTAGAGAAATCCTTGTCTAAATGGTCACAGAGATGAAAATACTGTGTGGTCTTGTCTGCTCTGGGAACCTATCTAGAAAACTCTACAGGGGAAACCAAAAGTCAGACACCCTTTTCTTTAAGTATTTTAGACTTGATATAAATATAATTTTTCTCAAGTCAGAAAGATTTGCAGTAGACTAGAAAGCATCTTTACATCTAAAACTTCAAACTCCCACACATAGCATAGGAAAACAGAATCTCAAGAAAGGAAATGCCATTCAAATTTTTGACGACTTCCCCCACCAAAAATTTTTTAGTATTTTAATGTTTACATGTAAGTCTTTTTAGGGAACAATTTTCTAGTTTTTTTTTTTTTCTTAAAAGAAATTTACTCACTGGAGTAAATTTAAATGTGAAATTTGAAAATGAGTCATCATTCCTGTATTGTAGATTGATTTCTAATTTGCTCTTTTTCCTTTTAAAATGGTTTCTACTACTATAAGTTATTCCACCAGTGAGTAATCTTTCTATATTTAACACTTAATTATTACTTTATTAATTAAACATAAATTTTCAGGAATGTGGGGAAGGAAATCCCAGGTAAACAGTATGAAAATGACAGTCTACCTTCTAAGATTTTCCATGGAGACTTCGCGTGTCTATGGAGACGTACAGCTGGAGAAGTAGTTTGGAGCCAGGTCATAAAGTGCCCTCTGTGCCATGCTAAGGAATTTAAGTTTGTCTGATAGGCAGAGAAAGATCAAAGTTCTTAAGCAAGAGAACTGATCATTATTACTATGGTCAGTTAAGATTTTTGAGCTCTGACTCTGGAAATAGACATGCAGACAGATTCATGTAAGGAGAGGTGAGAGAAAGATGGCATTTCGGATAAGAAGTGTTCATAGCCTGAAATAAGGCAGTGGCTAGAATATTGAGCAGATCAAAACAGATGTAGGACCCATTCTGAATAAAACTGATGGGACATGCCTGGCCTTTTTATTTCTATCTCTGTATTAATGTGAATTGGCAACAACCCACATGAAAAGCAGTAAAGAGGATGAGGGTGGAGGACTAAGAGTATAATTAGCTTCCACTGTCAACGTATCCACTTTATGTGCTGAAATTTTTGTACGTTTTGTGGTATTTTCTTTATTTTATACTTCTCCAAACTGTATAATTCTCCAAAATTAATCAACAACTAGGACAGCATTTTAACTAAGGCATACAGACCGTGACTCCCCAGTTAGGCTTGAAAACCCTAAGGTATAAGCCACTTATTCACTCTCAACTGGATTCCACTAAATAATCCAAGGATGAGTAGGAATATTTATATTTTTTAATAAGTTAATCATGCTTCTAAATCAGATGTAGAAACATTTAACTTAAATTATTTAACAAACATGACTCGATTCTAAGTCATATTGCTGTCAAAAATTTAAATTGTAGGGGAAAACCTAGGTTTGCCCAATATACTCAAGTGGAAATGTGTATAGTTGGAATTATATGATTTATATTAACTTATAAATCATAACTTTTATTAAAAAAATATGTACACACAAAATTTATATTGAAATATTAGGACTATAGACCTGGAAACTCAGATTTGTAGTATGTAATAGTACATTTAATCCTATTTGCATATTTCTTGACAGTTTATCTCCTACAAATTTCTTCAGACTCAAGAAGCAAAACTTAAAAAAGAACAGACTAGAAAAAGAAGAAAAACTTTTTAGAGAAAAATTTGAGGTATGTTCTTTGAAGGTAAAAGTTAATACTAAAGATAAGGGACCGCTATTTTACACCTTTGCCTCTTTGGGAGAGACATATGATCTTTGACTAGAAAGCTGTGTTTTTTCCTGATGCATTTCTATATTCTAATGCCTTTATGCCTGCTATTCTGACTGAAAAAAAATTTGTTACTTAAGACTGCTCAGATGTTACCCCATTCTTTCCTGATTTCTCCAAAGCTACTCTCTCAGCATGCATATTTTTATGTATGTATATACACACACAAATATACTTATTACATATATAAATATCCTCCATCTGTGATAACACTGATAAACGATAACAGTGTGTTTGTGTGAATTAAACTCTTGAGTTCCCTCTGAAAGGGGAGAATGTCTCATTCAGTCTGCTCCTCAACACAATATAAAACCATACAGGGTTTACTGAATAATGAATGACTAACAAAAACATGAACACAGTTAAACTAAATGAAGCACAATTTGAAATCCCTTAACTTCCCTTATTGTCATGAAGAGTTCATGAAGCATTTCTCTTTAATTATATCTTTACATAATTCCAAAGTTCAAACAAGCTTTCTTTCTGCTTTCATATAATGTCAAAGTGAGAATTTAAGATATAAGTATTGAACATCTCCCACTTGCCAGACACTGTACTGAAAGAAATAAAAATATGCATCCTGCTCACATTTTTGAGACAAGTCACTACTTTGCCTAAAATTTTTCAAAAGGTCCCCACTGCCAAGTGGATAAAGACTAAGCTTCTTAATATAACATGTGAAGTGCTTTGCTTGTCTATATGGTTTTACTTTCTCCCATTCTTCACCTTGCACTTGCTGGCTGGGCAACAATCACCCATAGCTGTGTCTTACTCATTCTCCCTAACACATCTACTTGGTCTTCCCCAATTGTCTGGATTACCATTACTACTGTCTCTGCTAGCTCCTGGTCATTTACCAATGCCCACTTGAAGCACTTCCTCCAGGAAAACTTTGTAAAGAAATTATTCTTCCTCCTTAAACCTGAACAAACCTATAGCTTATTATAGAACATTAACATAATAATTACATATTAATCAATGAGCTCCTAGAAGATAAGGATAAAAAAGTATTAGTTCATATGAGTGTGCAGAGCAAAATGGCCTAACTAGTACCTTGTAAACATCCAGTAATTGTAGTTTTTTTTTTTTTTAAGATTATTTATGCATGCAGAATTGGGTTACAGGCCAGAGAGGTTCAGGGGCAGTGAGAGGATTCACCAGAGACAGAGTGGGGAGCAAAACAGGCAGACTGACAAAGCACACTGCTGAAGGGAGCAGCAAGTGAGACAGTAGAGGTCTGCTGCACCATGTGGATCACCTCGGCAGTGGGGTGGAGGGGTGCGCAGGGTGGGGGATCACACTAAAAGTGAAGTGACTGCAAAGAGCTTGTAGTACTGCACTTTAACCTGCTGTGCCACCAAGGAGGGCCATGGACTGAATTGAAATAGGAACATACAGAAAGCTCTCATAGTAACTAACTTTAGACCAAAGAAGACTAGGGTTACTATATTTAGAAATTGTGGTATGAAATAGTTTATTGAAAACTGGTATTATTTGCTAGCTAGAAAAGCAACATTGCCACAACTGTTGAGAAGACCCTACCTTCCATCTACTGTTTTTCTCCTATTTTTTTGTGACTATCTCCTATTGGTATTAATCCATTCTTCCTTATTACTAGTTAGAGACAGCATTAGGGAAAAAATAAATAATAAAACCTTTGCTATTTCAATTACTAAGCTCAAATCATAAAATAATTGGGTAACTCATTCATGCCAGGCATTGAGGATACAAACATAAACAAAACTGGCTTCAACTTTCATTTATAGAATAATGATTTTTATAAAGAATATATGTAATGCCATTTAAAATGTAAATTATATATGGTGAAAGTCTTTATGCAAGGTAAAGAGAAAAAAGAGTATTTCAGACATAAAAAAGAGCATGAGCAATCACATCAAAATATGAAAGGTATATGATATAGGGCCTCCCTGATAACATAGGGATTAAGTCTCAATGATATCACTGCTGTGAGTCTGATCCCCAGCCAGGGAGATGACCCAATGGCACAGCAGATCTCTCACTGTCTCACCCACTGCTCCCATCTGTAGTGTATTTCAGAAGACCTGCTTGGTTTGTTCCCCATACTCTCTGGTGAATCTTCTCAATGCCCTCCTCAAACATCTGGCCTACACCCCAGTTCATGTATACATAAATAAATAAAAAAAAATTTTAAGGTACAGGATATGTTAGGATTACCATACAACCTGATTCACCTTCACTAAGAATAACAGTATACAAAAAATCCTTGAATTTCAAACTACATGGACCTTATCTTGAAAGTAATGAAGAGTTTTCAGGATTTTATAAAAAGGAAGGTGACCTAATAATCAGATCTGCGTTTTTAAGACTTCACTGTGTATTCACAGTGGACAGTGGCCAGGAAAGAGAAAGATGACCTGCTAGAAAGCTACTGCTTTGTTAAATGAAAGAAAATCTATCTGGTGAATAAATTTCATTTGGCACAGAGTGATCTCATAGCTTGTCATCCAAATTCATCCAAATTCTGGACACCTCTGAGAATGGCTGGAAGTATACCAGATCTTAAGTGTTTATAAATAGAGACATTATCTATAAATAGAAACTGTCCTGAGCAACAAGAAATGTTTGGAAACTAATTTGAGAATGCAGACATCTTAAATGTAAGGTACATATTCTGAAACTACTCTTTTCCTGTTCCACAGATTCCAGTGCATTAGCAGGTGGTGTGTATTTATGTATTTAAATGTTAATGCCAGTTGTTTATCACATGGGGTGGGGGGTTTGGGGGGAACTTGACCTGAGAACCTGAATTTCTCATCAGTTTTTTTAAAAATATGTGTGCTTCTATATACAAGAATATATTGGTCCATTCTTCCTAGAAAGGAAGAATGGAAAAAGAATGCCATCTAGAAATACAAGGTAGATAAATTCATTATAAATTCTAAAGCACTACTAGGTAAAGAGATTGTTCTCAGTCCAACTTCTCATTTCCTGGGTTTCGTGAAACTTAATTACTAGAACAGTAACATGCCACCCACAGAAGTTAAATTATACCCATGTTTTCCAGCATTTTCATCCAACAGATTTTATCCAGTACAAATAGGTAATAAGTATGAAAACACTTTTGAAAATAAAAACTATTAATTATTTTACTATTTCCTTAAATAGTAAAATATTGTACTATTAATATTGTACTATTTTCTATTCCCTCAGGTGTTACATCCTCAGTTGATTCTGTAATAATGAAAAAGAAAACAAAAACTATATTCTGACTAGTAATTTCTCATTTCAGTATGACAAAGAGATTACTGTTATCAATACAGCAGTGGCATGTTCCAATAATTCAAGAAATGGAATATTTGATTTGCCAGTAACTCCTGGAGAAGAACTAGATGTCATTGATATCACTGAAGAAAATCTAGTGATATGTCGCAATTCAAAAGGCAAATGTAAGTACCTGACTTATTCACAAAGTTTCAATCATTGAAATAAATCTCAAAGAATTGTCTCTGTCATTTTCAGACTAGTAATAATGATTTCTTTTTCAATAGATGGCTATGTGCTAATTGAACATCTAGACTTCAAGTAAGTAATCTGATTTTATATTTCAGAAAATAAATTCTAAATACTTTAATCATAAGGAAAAATTAAGTATGCAGTGCCCTTCTCTGTAATTATTGTTACCTGAGTGCACTATCAAATTTTTCTACACAGTATATGTAAATATTGCTTTACAGCTGTTTCTTAAAATTGTATTTTTTGATTTACAATGCTGCATATGATTTAGAGGTATAGGTTACACACAACACCCACCACCAAAGCTCCAATCCTCCACCATAGTCCACTGGGTCTATCCACCTCTCACAGTCTCATTTCTACCATCTGGTTCTAGGGTTTGCTTTGGATTAGTTTTGCCTGTTCTTCTCTTTAGTGTCTTTATATTCCACACTGAATAGAATCATCCAGCCTTCCTTCTTTTGATTTATCTAGCTTATTAGCATAGTCGCCAAGTGAAATTTCAACTTTGTGCCAAAATATGGGACTCTCTGGTTGTAGTGTCCCCTGGCTAACTATTAGATGATAATCTTGAGCAAAACAGGGACTCTGCTGTTGCCAACATCTTAAAGGCAGATAAAAATGTCCCCCAAAGCAAAGAAAGTGAAGGAAAAAAATGAACAGCTGGGATTACATCAAACTAAAAAACTTCTGTACAGCAAAAGAAACATAAACCAAAACAGACACCCTACTGATTGGAAGAAAATTTTCACACACAGAACAACTGATAAGGGATTGAGCACGAAGATCTACAAAGAGCTAACGTGACTCAACAAAAACAAAGCAAACAATCCAGTCAGTAAATGGGCAGAGGATCTAGAGACACTTCTCCAAAGAGGAAATGCAAATGGCAGCAGGTATATGAAAATGTTCCATTTTCACTTGTAATAAGGGAAATGAAAATCAAAACCACAATGAGATACCTGACTCCTGACACCAGCAAGAATGACACCTAACACAAAAACAGGAAACAAATGTTGGCAAGGATGTGGGAGAAAAGGAACTCTCCTACACTGCTGGTGGGAATGCATAGTGCTGGCTCAGCTACTATGGAAAGCAGTGTGAAGGTTCCTGAAACTACAAAGATGGAGTTTCCATATGACCCAGCAATTCCACTCCTAGAAATCAGGAGTGGAACACAGGGACACAAGAACATTAAGTCAAAAAGACACCTGCACCCCTGTTTTTAGTGCAGCACTATTTACAATAGGTAAGATGTGGAAGCAACCCAAATGCCCCCAAATATACTGGATCAAGAAGATGTGAGATATATACACAATAGAAATTTACTCAGCAATGGAAAAAGATAAACTCATACCATTCGCAGCAATATGGATGAAGCTGAAAGGGATTATGTTCCGTGAAACAAGCCAGAGAGAAAAAGAAAAAGACAGTTTCACTTATAGGAAAAAGGAGGGAAACCAAATAAGGGATCAGGAAAAAGAATAATAATAAATCAGGAAACAAAATCAACAAGCAACTATAAATCAAAGACATTCTACAGTGCGGGGCAAGGAGAGAGATCAGAACAGAGGAGCAAAGAGCACAAGGGACTATGGTGATAGTGCACAGGTGAACTGGTGGTGGGCATTTTACAGGGACTACACCTGAAAGAATGCATACATTGTACAAAAAAGGAAAATGATGTAAAACATATATCTAATTTTAAAAAGTAAAAAGGAGCTTAAGAATATCAAGCTGGTGTAAGAAATCCCCAAACTATTTATGGCTTCTTAGGCCTACAGATTTCAAAATGTTTGTAAAGGTTTGTCTTTCTCTCTCTCTCTCTCTCTCTCAGGCATCGAGGTTGGTCTCCATAGGAGGATCAAGATAAAGTCATATGGGCTGTACAAAGGGCTGTGTAAACTTTGTTAGGAACAGAAAAGAAAAAATCCTCCACATTTAGATGTTGGTTTTACTCCTAAATGGCTATCTTTCAGTGTCTATTTTAAGAGCTTTCACTGCTAGCCTAAAAACATGTGAAACTCTGTGCCAGCATTTGAGCATGTGTTTAATGAGCCATGCTTGAGTAAGAAACCTGCCCGTGGCACCTCGTCAGTTGTGCAGATGGTTGGTTTGTATCTAATATTAGCACAAGAGTGTCTGTAATTTCGCAATGTTGTGCCTTTAAATTAGGTGTAATTAAATTATGAAAAGTAAGTGGTATAACCAAAGTGTTTTAAATACTCAAATTATAAGGTATAATCTTAAAATAATGATGACTTGGTCTTTATCATTTCAAGAAATGGTTACATTAGATGCTGTGACACGAAAACATCCCATTGGCTAAAAATTAATCATTAAAGCTGAGTTGTAAATAATACTCTATTTTTTAAGTGACATACACTGCCCATTCACAAAAATGAGCAGCTTCAAATAAATGTTTTTCTTCAGTAATATAAGTTTTGCTTCTTTCTTTTTCCCATGTTCCAAATAGCACTTGTAATAAAGGCCAAACTTAGTGTAGCAGAGTCAAAAGTAGTTGTAGAAAAGGAAAAAGATTTTTAAGATATGAAACATTTTACAAAGTGATGTTAAGTACACAGTATATTTTTTATACAAAACAAACATAGAAAAGCTAGAAAATCAAAGCTCTGTTTAATGACTGAAGAAATTTAGGGCAAATGGAGGGTAGTGTGGGAAGAATTGCATGAGGTAAGTTGTGGGAAGCAGTAGCTTAGAATTATTAAGAAAGGCAATGCAGGTATTTACAGAGAAAATAAGCCACAACAATGTGGGCGATATAGTATAGAAGAGACAAATTTAAGGCAGCTATTGAAATACACAGAACAGGGACCCCATTAAAGGTATCACAGGGTGAGGAAACAAAATGTCCTGGGGACTGATAAAAGGTAGAGATGAGTGAATTAAGGAATGGTTCATTTCTTTTTAGGAGGTGAGATTAAAATTGGAAATATTTCTTTCTGGTTAACTGCACCACCACCACCCCCACCCCCAAATTAAATTACTACTTACTAAGAGTAAGGGCAATTAAGTGACTGTAGCCCTCTCCCACACTCTAAGGTAAAATTATTTAATGGCCATTGCAGAAGACAGGAGTAAGTCTGGCCTGTGGGCAAAGAGATAATTGAAAATGCGTGACTATCGTGAAAGGATCCCTTTCACGTGACAATTCTTATAGAGAATCACTCTTACCACTTCACCAAAACATGAAATAATTAAAATCCTAGATTGGTAGGGAAACTACATTTGAATTGAGATAAGTTTGTCTTGTGCACCAGCCTTTGAGTTCACAGAGTCTCAATTTCCACGTCAGTAAAATAGTACTAATCACACTTTCTACATCAGTAAAATAAGACTAATCACACTCACCTTGTCTGCTCCACAGGTTTACTCTCAGGCTGAAATGCAGTACATATAATAGTGTCTGAACACCTTTACTACAAGATATCAACACAGTGTTATTTTAATATCTGGCCTTTTCTAAACTTGTAAAATGTTAAAAACAAAGTACAAAGTTCAAATTCTAATACTTAAAAGAATGGCTGGGCTATAATGATTACTTAATCATAAATATATTTGTCGGGGACTGAGACCAGGACCTTGCCTCCTATGCACAAAACAACA